GGTGGCCTACATCGCAACTTTATTTATACGCGCCTGATAAGTGACGGACGTTGGTTTTGCTAGCAAAATAATAGTAGGCGTATACCCGTCCATAAACATTTTCAGTTAAGTAAGTAGGTTTGTAGTTGTAAATAACAATGGATAGAGTTATTGTTTTCTATCAACAAATAATGTTAATAGTAGTAGACAAAATATACCCTCTTATGTTAATTTAGGTCTTCTATTTAATTAATAGGCCGAGACAGACATTTTTCGATGGTATTCTACAAGTTTTCTTGATATTATAGTACTCTCGTAATCAATGTTAAGATACGTAGTTTTGGGAAATTTTAAAGTCTATGTCAGTTTTTTTCTTCATCGAATATTTATTAAACATTTGAGTAAGTAAGCGTTAAAAGTAAAAGTTAACTCGCCACTGTATTTACCTATTGAAGTGTAAATCAGAAATTCATTCAGTGATTGATTACTTACAATTATATTATTGGACAAGTATAGGTAAAAGTATAATCTACTAATTATATTGCCGAAATTTATTTGCACAGCTTCTAATGGGATCTCCTGTAACAGAGCTGTCAATATACTAACACGTTTACGACCGCCATCGCTCACAGTGGGTATGCATTAAACTAAAAGGTTAATGCATGCCTATATAAACTAACTTCACGGCTCGTATGGGTGTAATTTTTGTTAGCCATGTGTAGGGTTACCGGTTATGCTGCTCTCTTAAAAATAACCTCGAATTCGACGACGAGTTCAGCGCTTTTACGGATTACTTACCCATTCAAGTAGGTTTCATTTGATTGGACTTATGACCAGTGTCAGTTTTAGGATATTTTTAAAAGAGAATAAATAGAGCAATTCTGTATAAAACTGAACCCTAATTAGCATTTACTCAAGTGACCGAACTTACTTCGAAAGGGAATCCGTTTACCCTTGAATTGGTATTCTCTATATATGACAAGTGAAGTGTGTTTCGAAATGACATAGGGATGGAATATATAAAAAGTTATAAAAAAAAATACTTGGCAACTTCACATACATTGCTCAGATTCCAAGACGAGTAGTTAAAGTATTATGGATTAGGTATCCGAGACAATGAAGGTACTACATTACCCAGACCCCAGAAAATATATCAGCTCAAAGGAGCTCAAGAGATAGTGACACCTTAAAACCGGCGTGCGAAACACTCGGCTACGAATAAATTAATTTTGTATTGCATTTTTATACAACAACGGTATGAAAAGAATACAAAAACGCTATCTTTTATTTATTTATTAAGAGGACACCAACAGTGCTTACATTTATACAATTTTTACAAAACAGTATTATTAAATATCTGTCTGAGGCAATTTTAAACACAGTTTAATCATTAAAGAGAATTAATTAAATAAGATTGAATTAGGTTAATATTAATCAAGTCATTATAATTAAATCGATATTAAAATTAAAGTAAAAATTAAAATCAATGTAACAAGTGCTTGAAATATCTATCAGTCCTGTTAGGAGGTCCTGGATAGCTCAGTGGTTAGAGCAGTCGCCCGGATAACAAAAGGTCGTGGGTTCGAGTCCCATCTCATAGTGCCGGGGGCAAAGTGGATTTTTAAGAAATTTTTCGTTAGGAGTTTTTTTCAGGATAGTATTTTGAATACAAAATTGATTATTTATTATAACACTATATATTTTTATTATCTTCTTCGAAATCGAAAAGTGGAGGTTATATGTTCGACGGCGATGTATGTTTTTTTAATGTATGTTCACCGATTTTTCCCCGAATTGTTTACTGATTTTCAAATTTATGTTTTAAAATTATGTTTCTATTTTATAGCTTACTGGTTGGTTCCATATAAAATTAATAGAAATCGAATATTATTTTTGGACTAAAAAGAAATATGTTTTACCGTCATATTTAAAAGAAAGCGAGTGTATTTTGCTCTACCCGATAGGAAGATTTTCTATGTTCAATTGTCGGGTATGTACATTTTTAAGTAAGTAAAAATTGAAAACCAAATTCTATCATACTAGCAATTTCCCCGTGAATTCGCTCACGTAAATTATAATATAGTTTTAGCAAGTTGAACTTTTTCAATCGATCCAGTAACTTTAGGCGCCCATTCAATCTAAATAAACAAACGATTAATTCGGTTATACTTATAAATTTATTCTTTCATATTTATAAAATGAGTATAAATTTATTATTATTATATTATCATCAGCCCTTTTACGTCCCCACTGCAGGGGCTCGGGCCTTCCTTATGGATGGTTAAGGAGGATGGGCCATGACCCTCCACGCTGGCCCAATGCGAATTGGAGGGTATTGACGACTGTAAATGTAGCCGGGACCAACGGCTTAACGTGCCTTCCGAAGCACGGACTAGCTCGAGATAATAATATTTTGGTCACCCATCCCGAGACCGACCATTGCGAAAGTTGTTTAACGACAACGATCGCGGGCCGCGGCGCTTATCCACTACGCCACCGAGCTACTCCCGAGTATAAATATGTATTGGAAAAAATTATGTCGAGAAAATAAACAAAATCTCCTTTCCTAAGACTTTCGATATGTTGACGTATTTTTTATAAAGATATTCAATAATTTATTGTATCATTAAAATACATTAAACTTCTATCGTTAAAAAAAAACAATATTACTAAAACTCACATAATTCTTTTTTAATCGAACTGCTTTAAATTTTTCTTTTATTTTAATCAAAAATGACGAGTGTTTTGTTTTGATCATAAGTCTGTGTTGCTTATGAATAAAACTTTTCTGGAGGTTCGGCCCTTAAATACCTTAGAGCGAAAATGCATTTTTTCCTCTCCTTGGTACATTATAATGACCGAATAGTTGTGCAAGGGTAGTAAACACCTTTTATATAATTAAGTACCTAAATTAAAATTTTATTTATTTATCCTAAATAATTCTCTGTAGGATAGTCCATAAAATAATTAATATTTACAAGGATTTTCAAATGCAATTAATTTCTTCTTTAACAAAAATAATATCAGTGAAAGGCCATTATTTTTCCAATCGATTTTAAGCCTTAAACGATAGCTTTTTTTTATAGAACTTTGGCTTTATTTCTGATATATTGCTGTATGTACTCTGTGCGTCTATTGAAAAATAAATATCAATTGTATACCATAAAATAAGTTTCAAATTCCTCACAAATTAAAGTATAGATAATATTTCAACGACTTTATTTGGTCCAATTTATTACTAAATTTGAACTTGAACTACTAAAACCAAGTAATTTGATTATGTTCCCTTTTAGCAAAAAGCGAGCGTTGAATAACTCGTAATGGGTATTTATTAATTATATTTTCAGCGTTTAATAAGACATCAAAGTTAAATTTTCTGTTAATGAAAGTAAATTTGATAAAGAAGCATCTATTTTGTGATATACTAGTGGTTTTGCCGTGGCTGTACACGCGTAAATTATAGCCTAACGTCCGTTTTCTGAACTGAGAAATGTACAAAAGTACAAAATCAGAAACGAAAACCTGTTTAAGTGCAGTTTGTGACGTGATTAACCTTAAATACTCAATTCAGAAACCGGGTGTTAGTCGGATGTACATATGTAACGCTTCCGCAATGACAAATGATGCTTTGTAGCTTCCCGTAGGTGAAAGAATATTCACAGTCGATCCAGTAGTTGCGTAGCTTATACAAAAAAAAAATAAATAGATCTGTTCTCTTTATTATATTAACAAAGATTATAAAACAACTAAAGCTTATTTTTTTAATAATTTTTAAACTGCCTCAATATCTGTTTTATTAAACAAACAGTAGATACTTCAATTAATCACACGAAAAAAAGTAAAAATCCATATCTCTCTTTCCAGATAATCGCCTGCAGACCCCCGGATCGAGTTAACTCTCGGTAAGGCAAACTGTAAAGTTACTTTTTGTGTAATTAAACTGTTCGGTACGGTGATCGGAAAAAAGTTTTTTAATTTTTGAACAACTTCGTTCAGTATTATGTTGTGAATTCTTTTATCTAAGACTTTAATAAAGTCGGGAAACTTTTTATTGCGAAAATGGCAACCAGCTAATAATATCTCGGCGTGTGTATTAGAAAAAGATTTTTCATTCCTGCAAATTTTAATAAATTAAAACGGTAGATATGTTCTCTAAAAAGTGTGGTTATTTTTTGGAATTAAAATGTAAACAATTTATGTTTGTAATTTTAATATATTATCAGTCATTTCAATATTATCATTCAATTTATTTCAATGCACTCATGTGTGGCATGGATGTGGTGATGTGTTGGTTGCGTTGTGTTATATGTCCGTGTATTTGTCAGTTTCGGTATGTGGTATCTATATATTTATAAACGTATAAACATAAACATAAATAAGAACATATAAGAAATTACCGTGTGCTTGATATTGCCTCAAATTTTATATAATGAAGTACTAAATGAGTGAATCTGTCTCCTTGTGCGGGTGTGTTTTTTGTATTTATTATCTTTTATTTGGATTTCATTTTTGTAATTAGTCGAAAAAGTTAGCTATTTTTATCAGTTGTGTAACTCTATAATTGGCTTAAGTTACTATCGCATCACATTATTATAGTATGTATTTATAAATAAGCTGTGGAGTTTCTGAATAAAAAAATAAATAAATAAACTTCGAACCGAATATGCTCAATAAATACTTTCCAAACTTTATAACAATTAAAGCATTTCCACTTTGTATAAATATAATATTGTGACAACGACTTGAAATTATTGAATATCAATTATAAGTCAAAGAAACAAGGCCAAATCGGTGTCAAAGACATTTCAATATCCTAACCTCCCGAGCCAATGACACGACTAATTAATTAATTAGATCACGTCAATATTTCGTCAATAGATCATCGATGGAACATTTATATTTACACTTTAAGATTCATTGTCGTCACAAAATACGTGATTTGATTTCTAATATCTTTCAGTTATCCTCCTTGTCACTCGCCATTTGATACCATTTATGATATAACAAAGCACCATAAATTGGCACCATGCAAGTATAAAACATACGATAGAGCACTAACAGAGTCATTCAGTTACCGACAACCATGAAGTTCCTCATAGTATCTTGTCTGATCGCCGCAGTGTCTGCTGAACTGCCTCGCTTTAAGCCAGCGAGGTTTCGTTTCCAGCGGCAAGAGTTAGCGCCCACAACTGAATCACCTGCTGAACCGACAACTGCATCTGGACCGTACCCAGCTTCAGGATGGAAGCCGTCTGGTCAGCCTTTCACGCTACCTACGGAGACTGAAGCCCCGACAGCGACTTATGGCCCTCCAGACAGTGGGCCTTATCCTCCATCTGGTTGGAAACCCGCCGAACCTTTCACATTACCCAACGAGCAAACTCCCGACAATACTTATGGAGCTCCTACCACAGTCGCGCCGACAACAGATAATCCTCAAGCTGAAAGACTAGAAGGTCCAATAGAAGTGCAAAAAGCTGTTGGAACTTACTACGTGCTGTTGCCAAACGGCCAGTTGCAAAGGGTGGAGTTTGTGACGGAAAACGATGTTCAGAACATGAGGTATACAGCTCGCTTGCAGCTGAAGAACCCTGCTCCACTCTTCATTGTTAGATCTTAGACCGGGGAATCACTTTAGGTACATTTATTATAATACACGTGAATTTGGACTAATAATAAACCTGTGTTTTAAAATTATGTTATTTAACTATTACGTTCTCAGAAATATCCCAAATATAAAAATGAAACCAAACCAAACATTTTTTTAAAGTTTGAATAGAAGTGTAATGGTGTGTCGTGTCACCGTTTATTTCGTCCTAGGTTTCCGCATGCAAACTTTTTGTCTTTGATCTTCAACATCATTTATTTTCATTATTCGCATTTCGAAATTTGAATTTTTGAGTAATCCAATATGCTCTTTATGAATGTCAGATTGTAGAAAAATCATCCGGCGTTATTTAGCCATATTAAGTCATATAAATCCAATATAAACTATTATTATATGAATAAGAAACATGTAAACGTATAGTTTTGTGAAATATCTTCAATATGTTCTACCTATTACGGTAAACCCAGAAACGGGTATATAATTGTTATATTTAACTATTTTAAATATATATTTAGGTAATCATTCGAACTGGTTTTATATTCCTTTTTTGTTATTTACAGTTCTTTCTAATAGTATATAGTAGTATATATAATAGTAAATAGTAGCTTTTAATAAATCAAGTTCTAAAGCTTAGTCAGCCGTTTATACATTTGCCTAAGCATCGAACCCGTCATAGGAGTCTATAAATTCTCTATTATTGTATCTGTCAATAAATCTACTATAGTATAATGATTTCAACCTTCGACGAGGACTAAGTTCATGTCATGTTCTAATATAAGTGCAAAATCATCACGAAAAAAAAAAAACAATTGGCTTCCTTTTCCAACAACGTTAACTGTCCTTTGTAAATACTTAAAGGATCTCAAACAACATTCGTTTATGAGAATAGATAAATATTTTTTCTTATGACTTATGTACAATGTTTCTAATAGAAATATATGTTTTATATTCTAATAAAAAAGCATTAACAGAGATTCGTAAATTGTAGATGAAGAATTTGAATAACGGGGAATCAACCTTTACTGAAACACCCAAATTTCCATTTTAGATTATTAAGTGATGAATTTAAATAATTTATGTTAAACAAACACGCTGTGAAATTAGTCGTGGGAGTTGTGCCCACGCGTGGGATTGGAACAAATGGGCACAATTAAAACGTGCCATTACAGACGAGTTCATTATCACCACTTTCCGTAACATTAACCACGGTTCGAGCATGCTCGCAAAATCTTTCGCGGGAAATCATATAAATTAAACTGACATTAACTTAATTTGTTTTTGTTAACGCAAACAAAGGCTTGAGATTGCGCATAAAACGAGACAAAGTATTTTTATTTTATTTTATTGGGGACAACAAACAGTTTGCACAATAAATAAAAACACATTGTATTATACAATAAACATGTATAGGTCATTGTGAAACTCATACCGTTAACCACATGTTGCTAAGTCGTGTTAAACTGGATACAAAACAAAGCGTCTAAAATTAGGTTACTTCATTTATAACAAAGAAACAGGTGCATTTTAAGTTTAATATAGACAATCTATATTACATTAGATTGTGTAAGGAAATCAGTTTTTCTCTAATTGATATGTATTGCTTGAGGAAACGTTTTGTTAAATGTGTCTAGCAAGCGACATAAAGGCGCGTGTTCATCAGTACGCGTATAACACCGCGGTGTATAACACCGTGTGAGGTACCACATAAGTTTGACGCTCATCTCCACACAATCAAATTTATGATTACAGATGGCGTGTATAGCCATGGTGCAAAGAAATGTTCATGCAGGCTCAGCAGGTTGTATTGTTTAGCAGTTGATCGTATAACTGGCGGATACGACAAATTTTTTAGTAAACCTTATGCAAAAAATTTCGTTGTACCTTTTCTAGCATGTCCATATATTTCTGATATATAGGATTCCAAATAGGTGTGGCTTATTCTAGTTGCGGATTCTTTCCAATCATTTGTAAAAATAAATACCCCATAATCGATGGCTTTATAAAACGGTGCATTTATCAAGGAAAACACTGGTCAATATTCAAAAAATTTACAGAAAGCTTTTGGTTCTATTAAGTGTATTAAATAACACCTTTTTTAAGCTCCGACGCAATAAGAGAGGTGTTCTAAGTTAAACGCGCGTGCGCGCGTGTGTGTGTATATGTTATCTATCCATAGTGTCTATAGACCAAAGAGGCCAGTTAATGAATTTTGAAGATAATGTCGAAAAATATTTCTCCCATAGACTTAGAGATTTCTCCATATAATAAATGAGTATAATAACGAGAAGAGTTAAGCTAAGTTGGTTGTGAATTTAGAGGTTATGTTGTTATATACATAGGCTTATTCAAGACGATATTTTCTTACGTCTGTTTTCTTTTTTATAGAAAAATCTAGTGTATTTTTCTTTCCATAGGGGTGTAGACAACTTTTTATATGTTATTACTTTATAGATATACATAAAATATATCTAAAAAAATACTAAAAAAGAATATCATTCACAAAGTAAGTTAAAATTTAAAAATAAATTTACTTTTCAAAATCTCCCGTGAAAACGCCACTTCTGTCATGGTGTCGCCATGACGTCATGGCCCTCTGAAACTATTCTCATTCTATGTATTTGTGTCGCAGCCAAGTGGTATAATCAGCCGACCGATTGGGCGACTAGCCCTTTAATTGAATGGCGCCAATCAATTCCATTAAAGTATCCTGAATACGCTGTTTTTTTACATCGTTACGTAATCTATATAATAATAAAGTGAAGCATAAGTTTTTGTTCCCTTTTTATAAAAAGTCGCGGACGGAAGAATATAAAATTTGGCCCAATTGAAGTACACACGTAGAAGAAATATAGAACGCTATTATTATAAAAATAGCATTCTGCTTCTACTTAGAGATCATAAGAAAATACTCGTAATAAAAAAAAACATAACACCCATTACTCATAAAAACTTTACACCCACTAATTTTTAGCTTTTGATTCTTTTGGTATATAAATGCCAAAAGAAATATATAGTTAGAAGCGTATATATCATCATCATCAGCCCATATTCGTCCACTGCTGGACATAGGCCTCCTCAATTGCACGCCATCTACTTCTATTTTCGGCTGTTCGCATCCAGCTCCTGCCAGGCATCTTGCGCAAATCATCACTCCACCGCGCCTGAAGACGTCCTACACTACGTTTGCCGAGACGCGGTCTCCACTCAAGAACTCGTTTACCCCAACGGTAAACGGTTCTGCGGCTAATATGGCCAGCCCACTGCCACATCAGCTATGCATAATTCGGTGGGCTATGTCGATAACCTTGGTTCTCAGCCGGATCACCTCATTTCTTATTCGAACCCGCATAATCCCAGTATGTGCCACCTAATCTTTCCTAGCTCCACCTCACGTGGAGCCAGATGCGAGTCAAGCCGTAGTCGTGCGTCCTTTTAACAATTCTCTCTTCTTAAAAATAAGTGCGGAATGAATATAAAAAAATTACAGCTCGATTATCACATCGATTATTCATTGACAAAACTGTCAGTGAATAATCGATCATCGAATCAATTGATACATAAATCAAATCAAATCAAATGCCTTTATGTTTTTAATAAAGACTATTACCAAGTAATGATTACAAACTGATTGTTATATATTATATCCTGAAAAACACTAAATAGAGGGATGAAAATTAAAAGGAATTAAAACATAACCACAGTAACCATTGTTTACTATTCAATTTATCCATGTCATGTTCACAATCGATATCCAAATAAACAGTTCTCTAGGGACCACGCGGGAGAAGCCGCTGGTGAAAAGTTTAATTTAATAAGACTAAGGTACATGTTACCGTTCTGCTACCACTATTACGAGTAAATGAAAGAAATTGAAAATATATTTTCTAAGGGCGTGTTCACATAATATAACGTCCGTTTTCGCACATAACACAGTACTCCGGATCCGGTAGAAAATAACGATCCGACAAAATAAGCAGCAATCTGTTTTACAGATCCGTTTAAACGTATGTGTTATTAGCATATGTAGTTGTATGAGCCAGTATTTCGGATATAGTATACTGATCCGTTTATCGGATCGAACCGCGCGAGGCTTGGCACGGGGGTACATGGGGTGTGAGGAGCTGCACACAGTCGCCATAATGGATGTATCCAATAACCGGGGCTTCCTCAGACGCAGAGGACGATAGTACCAATACAACATGACATAGTCCATCCTCGCAGAAAGTAGGCGGACACTGAAGAACGAAAGTGCAGTAGCGTAAATGGTTGTGTGAATTCTATCTCCAGTAGGCAGGGATCCGTTAACAAGGATCCTATAAATACTGTGTGAATATTATCTCCTATAGCGAAGGATCCGTTAAAAAGGATCCTGTAGAAACGGACGTTATATGTGAACGCGCCCTATAGTACATGTAAAATCTTATGTCACCTATGTATGGTACATATTAAAAGAGTATTTTGTCTTCATGAAATTGATATAATCAGTGTTGGCCCATGGGTATACCATAAAAGTGTCAAAAGAGAAAAAAAAATGTATTTTGGTAGGCGTGGAAGGAACAGTGCCATGAATACAATTTATGTGACGTAAAAACGATGGCAAAAGTACACTTAGAGAAATTCGCTCTTCTCTGGAGTCGTACCCCGAAAAATGTTATATGATTACTTATGCTATTTGTGTTACAATTACTTATTTTCCTTACGTATTTTTAAATGTATTCTGGTGGTTAACTTTCCAATTTTAAATCTATCGGTATACCTTTAAATTTTACATTTGAAGGGTAATCACGAACTTCACACTACAACTATTTGAAGGGCCATAAAAAATAAAACTATTTGATATGTGCCAGTGATTGCGACCGCGACGTTTTTTTATATACGATATCGTGAATGAGTAGCTCGGTGGCGTAGTGGATAAGCGCCGCGGCCCACGATCGTAGTCGTTAAGCAACTTTCGCAAGGGTCGGTCACGGGATGGGTGACCAAAAAATTAGTTTCTTGAGCTACTCCGTGCTTCGGAAGGCACGTTAAGCCGTTGGTCCCGGCTGCATTTGCAGTCGTTAATACCCTCCAATCCGCATTGGGCCAGCGTGGAGGGTCATGGCCCATCCTCCTTAATCATCCATAAGGAAGGCCTGAGCCCCTGCAGTGGGGACGTAAAAGGGCTGATGGATGGATCGTGAATTTGTCGTTTAATAGTATTAGTTAACGCGCAAAAATATTTGAAATATATTGAAAAAT